CTTGGCAATATCTAGTATCCAAAGAAATTATTCGTCAAATAAATCAAAAATGAATAAATCGGCCCTAAATAAAATGTGGCACCCTTAGAATTATTGTTTAATACATGTATACTATACATTTAACCTTAAATTAAAACTTTAAACGTGTATTACAACAAAACAGTAAAAGATATAAAAAATGTATAGACCTTTTTTAGGAAATTAACTAATCTTTAATCTGATTTAAAAAGTTATGATAATATTTAAATAAAATCGCAAGTTTTAATTGGAGAATTGAAAGTGTGCATACATATTTTTAATAAACATCCAATTAAAACAAAATTAACCGTCAATTTTTTTTTTATTTTGCTCTTAAAATTTTAGTTATGACCTAATTAACAAGAATATAAAAAAAAATAAGTTTCACAGAAAGTCCAAAAATCACCTCTCAGAACAGCACCGTGGAATGCGACCATATATCGAATACCATTTTGTTTTTGATTACCAAATTTGAGCTCTTAATATTAATAGGAAGATTCCCAATAAACATTTTTGTTTTATAGTGGTTTCCATAAATGTTATATTATCCAAAATAAAACCTAAATTTCTTAATTTTTTCACTGAAATATTTATATCACTCTTATATACCCCTTAAAGAGCTTATTTGGGCAGTTTATGAATGGCATCAGTACCTATTTTAGTAACACTATAAAACCCAAGTTTTATAACATTGTAAAATAATTATTGTCAAATAAGTATGACATATTTTTGTAGGAAATGTAACGCTCTACAAAAAAGGTCCGATGTGTTTAATTGATACTACCGTTCAGAAGATATTCGTATCCGAATATCATTGCGCACTGATACGAATATCTTCTCAACGGCTGGAGTAATCAATTAAATGCATCAGACCTTTTTTGTAGAGCGTTTAAGTGAGTTAAAAAATTATTTAAAACAATTTTTTTTATAAATTCTTAAATTTTTGATCTTGAATATCTTTTAAATGGTATAAAGATTTGATTGAACGATTGATTAATAAAGAAATATGGTGAGAAAAAAATGGAAAATTGTGATGGGGAGGATTTTGCTATTAATATTAAGAGCTCAAATTTGGTGCATAAGAACCTACTGACAAGATGAAATAAGAGATAGAAGATACATAACCTGTTTGTTTTAGAGAAACGCTGGTATTCCATATAAGGGCACTATTCCATATTTGACCGCTTTTCTCTACTTTATGATTGATTACTACCTTGGTTTCTGATCGATTTGTGTTCATTATTTCTAAGTGTGGCTTTGCTTTTTTATTACGTTTGTTAAAAGTATTTTTTGGATACAGAATTTTTGTCATGACTTTGGACTTAATTAGGAAAAATACAAAATGTGCTTAACTTAATTTAAAACAATTTTTACCGTTGTTTTGTGTATGCTTTCAATAGTTTAATACTTATGTAGATTTTGACTTAATTTAAATCTTCGTTTCGATCCTATTCTTTTAATTAAAGGTTTGACTACTTTATACTTATTTTGTTTCTGCTTTCTGTTATTAATACTTATGTACCTATTTAGTTTGATATGAATAAGGTTTCATTAAACAGCTCAACTTGTTTGCATGATGTTTGCAGTCCTTTTTTATTAATTGATAATCTTTATTTTTAAATTACAATTGCTGGCATGTTTAATTTCATTTCATTTCATTAATTCAACCATAATTTAATGCAAATGCGACTTTTATTACCATATAGAGGGTTTTTCCAGTTTATTTATATTTATTTGTATATAGGCATTTTTAGACAATATTTTATAACTACCAAATTGCAAAATAAGAGATTTTGGTGTTTTTATTTATCTATCATTATTAATATTATTATTGAATAAAACAGATTTTGAATTTGATTATTCTCGCCTGGGAATAGAGATGTCGATAGTAGCAAACTTGTTACTAGCGACATCTCTATGTCAAAGCGCGAAGTTTCCTCCTTTCGCGCTTACTAAAAATCACAGACTCTAACGACTTTTAATGTTGTTTAAAATTCTTGTGCTTTGGGTTTGTAACCGTCTAAATTCAAACAGCATATAGCATTATTAAAAGCGTTTATTAAGAAAGTCTCCACTCAACAGTAAAATACCAAGATTTGTTCAACAATTATATTAGGTAAAGTTTTCAGTAGTTAATTCTGCACTATTGGTCCTGGTATTATTGACGCTATTAGCAATTTTTTTTAAGTGGTCAGGGCTCAGGTTAAAAATGAATTTAAAAATCCAAAACTTTAGAAGAGTAAAAAGTAAGAAAACCTCGTTTGAAAAAAAATATAAAAAATTGACTTTTTTCACTTTTTTAAGAAAACTAATTTACAATTCTGAATTTTTGGGAGTAGGTACCTTCAGAATAGTAAAAAAGTAAGAAAAAACCTCGTTTGAAGTTTTTTTTTAAGTTGTCAGGGCTAAGGTTAAAAATTACCTAATTTACAAATCTGAATTTATTCAGGATAGTAAAAATGTAAAAAAAACTCGTTTGATTTTTTTTTTAATTATGAGCGTTCATTTTATTTGTAATGGACGAGTGCAACAAAAGGTCTTATGATATGAGTTATTTATGCTATTTTATCTATTTTGCAAAAATTCAATAAAAAAATAATTTTATACCTTAAATTTAATTTAGTCGAATTTTACTTTAGATAGTTGGTATCACAGTCATTGGTTGACAGTTAATGTCAAAATCGATTTGCCATGCCGTCCTTAATTTACTTATTTACAATAAGCGGCTGTTAATGTTAAAGAAAAAAAAAATTTTTCTTTGGTGTTAAACAAAATTTATTGCCATAAAAGTCTCGTAAGTACTAGAAAAATCATAAAAATATTATACCAATATGCAAAATATTATGCTGTGTAAAGTATAGCCAATCTATAAAATCAAAATTTTGGGTGGGATTACATCACCGAAAGCTGTGTTATAATGAAGTCATTATGAACGCAAAATAGATAAATTAATTTAAAAATCTGAATTTTTGATAGTACCTTCAGGAAAGTAAAAAAAATAAGAAAAAACCTCGTTTTAGGATTTGTTCTAATTTTTTTATTAATTGTGGTCAGGACTTTGGTTAAAAATTAATTAAAAAATCTGAATTTTTGGGAGTTCCTTAAGGATATTTTTTGTTATTATTGACATTATTAGCACATCTTAAGGATATTTTTTGTTATTATTGACATTATTAGCACATCTTTTTTTTTCAAATAGTAAATAAACAGTAAATATTATAAATAAAGTTTTTAGTTTTTACTCTCTCTCTTGTAAAAAAATACATATTTACCACCCACAAATTAACCTTAAAATTGACATTTATTAAAAGTGGTCAGGACTTAAAAATTAATTAAAAAATCTGAATTTTTGGGAGTACCTTAAGGATATTTTTTGTTATTATTGACATTATTAGCACATCTTTTTTTTTAATAGTAAATAAATAGTAAATATTATAAATAAATTTTTTAGTTTTTACTCTCTCTTGTAAAAAAAATACAAATTTACCACCCACAAACTAACCTTATAATTGACATTTAATAAAAGTGGTCAGGACTCAGGTTAAAAATTAATTAAAAAATCCGAATTTTTGGGAGTACCTTAAGGATATTTTTTGTTATTATTGACATTATTAGCACATCTTAAGGATATTTTTTGTTATTATTGACATTATTAGCACATCTTTTTTTTCAAATAGTAAATAAATAGTAAATATTATAAATAAGTTTTAAATTTTTACTCTCTCTTGTAAAAAATACAAATTTACCACCCACAAATTAACCTTAAAATTGACATTTGACAGTTTGGTCACAGCCCTGATAGAATAAGGTTGATTTTGTAAGAATTTTTTTAAGAAACAGAACGTTTAAAGCGATTATTAATCTGTATAAACGAAGCGCAAAAATTGCAAACAACATCAAAATGGCCGCCGTTAGAGTCTGTGCAGTTGGTTGCCTAACTTCGTGATTTTAGTATGCGCAATGGGGTAGTTAAATTTTTTCTGACCTATACTTTTTATGGTTTTATTCAAGGCGTTTTGTAATTTTAAACATTTCTGTGAAATCGGAATTTCAATTGAGTTTACCGTTTTCGAGATATTTACAAAAAAAATCTCCTAATTACGTCACTATAGGCTATTCACAACGTTGCCAGCTTTTTCTATGGTTGCCAGTGTGTTTAGTTTAAGATTCTTACGATAGATGGCGCCACGTTATAATATTTTAGTTTTAAAACCACTTGATGTATAATTTTAGCTAAGAAGAAGAAGAATTGATTTTTTGACGTTTCTTTTTTTTTGGGTGATGTTTTTTTAAATTTAGATTATTGGAAATCAAAGTTATTGTTATTTGTAATTGATATTAGATAAGTGATTTATTAATAACGGACTCCAAAGCAGAGGAATCTTGTGGAATGGTTGGTTACATTGAACATTGGAGCTTTTAAACAAATAAAGTAAGTAGGTACCTATAATTATAATCATATTTTGTCGTAAATGCATTTCATTAGTATAATGCCTAGTTCTTTATATTCTTTTAGATATATCTTGGACTCTAAAATATCAAACAGTAATATGATACCTCGTAATAAGGAAGATAGGTACTTAATGAATTTGGTGACCATCTTTCACTCAACTGACAGTGACAGTATTTGTACATCTTCGGGTATTTTCTGACATAACCGAATGAAATCATTAACAAGACAACTTGACAACAGGGTAATTTTCAACCAATAGAAATCTTAGAATGTTGGTCACATGGCGAGGTTTGTGACGTCATAAAAATTTATATTTTTTGTAAATATCTCGAAAACGGTAAACTCAATTGAAATTCTGATTTCACAGAAATGTTTAATATTACAAAACGCCTTGAATAAAACCATAAAAAGTATAGGTCAGAAAAAATTTAACTACCCCATTGTGAAGCAAAACACCAAAATCGATTTTTGCAAGTTGAGAGGAAAATACGTTCGGTGTTTCGGTACAAAAACGCGTCTCTTTCGACAGCTGGACACCCCTGCGAGTAGCATGTCGTACGGCGACCCGACCGACAGCCTGATGCACTCTCAAATGATGCCGGAGGGGTCTTCGATGGGCAACATCGAGCTGACCAACGACGCCTACAACACGTCGCCGTCCCATATGGTCTATTCCAACCACTCGCCGAACATACACACGCCGCAGACGCCCAACACTCCCACCAGCATACCCAACATCATTTTGACAAGTAAGTTTTGCGGCCATAGGACGCCCTTTCCAAAGTTTCGTCCTCGTTTTTAATCGCGTCGTTTCAACTGGTTCTCCCATCGTCTGACGGAATGTTTTTTTACGGCTTACGTCTTACCATAGAAAAAGTATACAGTGTATTAAAACGAATAGATACCCTTAAATAAAACAAGTGCCAAGCCCCGCCCACTGTGGTAGGGATTTTAGAATTATTTTTGTTTGAGAATTTATAGGTTTTATTTTTATCGAATTCGTTTGTTTTGTTTTAATGCATTTCTGAAAATAAAAACTAAGTATTGTTTAAAATCCATTAAATTCCAGTTAATGGCGAAAATGTATTTCTTAAAAACTATACCTACACATTTCCCTACGACGGCGTCGAAGCTACTGAACAAACACAGTAGATCAAACTGCATGCCCTTGTATCTGGCTGCATGCCGCGCTGTTGCCATATGCTATTATTGTTTCCTAAAACCCACACAGCACATATATCCATTGGACGTCCAATGGACGGCCATTGTACATCCAAACGTCCAATGTAAATCCATTGGACGTCCATTGGACATCTTGTGTTGTATGGGAAGGGTTGTTTTTCTTATTTTTAATATTAAAAGTAAGAAAATTAACTAAATCAAATTATTTTTGACATATTATTAATTTTTTTGTTATTTTTAATGTTTCAAACAAATAAAATTTAACTATTTATTAAATAATTATAATCGTTCTCTTCTGATTTAAAACAACCTGGCAACTATGGTTCGTAAAATAATAATAGTATATTAAGTTTGGTAGAGAAATGTCAGAACTGTCAAAAATATTTCATTAATTTTATTTGTGCTTATTTAAATTGTGATTTCAAAAAGTTTGCAAGTTTGCAAGTGTAATAAATGACGGAGTGTTCGAGATTCATGAATTTAATTGCAATTAAAAATGCAAGAACATATCATAATTTTGTACCTCTTTCTTATAGAAAATATTTAAGTTCTGAGAAGTTTTAAATTGTTAAAAATAAGCAAAAACCAAAAAATATTCTAAATAAACCCCTTTATTATAACATGTTTTATGTTAACCAGTTACCAAAAAACTAAAATTTAAAGAAGTATTTACAGATTGTGTAAATTTTTTCCAACACTAACATTTAAAATACATACATTTAACTATTTAGTGTCTTACTAAAGGGATCAAAATAATAGAACAAGACTCATAATTATTATTTGTGGTATTCCTTTGGTGATTTTAAAAAGTTTTGTACCTATATAACATAATATGACATATTATGTTATATACAAAATTTACCAAAGAAATACGCACAAATAATATTTATGAAATATTTTTGACAGTTCTGACACTTCTCCACCAAACATGAAAGCCATCTAAATTTTAAATTATGAATAAAACTAACAATATCGCTACTAAACGGCCATTAAAAAAATTAATATATCTTTTAAAGGAATAAAAATAACAAAACAAGACTAACTGAACTGAAAAGATGAAGGTTGGGACTACATTTCCTGAAAGTTTCAGATTTTTATTTTTTCCTCAACATAATGATTTCTGAGGGCAAAATTGGCCAATTTTGAGAATTATCAATTTTCAATAATTTTTTTAATAAAGAAATTGATAGTCTAGAAACTTGAAATAATAGTTACGTTTTCTATTGTATAAGTACTTTATACCCGAAAAAAAATGAACCTTCTAAGTTCAGTAGAATAGGCACAGGAGCCAGACAAAAATCACAAAAATTGGCAAATTATCATGAATCTTTAGTGGTTTACCATTCTTTTATGAGATTAACTAATTGGATAATAATAATTTATATCGAAAACACACTTACTGGACAGTAAAACAAAATTAAAATTATTTCAATATTTGTCACAGAAAAAAAGTTCTGGCCCACTTTAAGAGAGTAAGAAATTGACACTATTTCAGACTTCTAAGGGGTGCCAAATAAAAGTAAAGCAACAAAAAATTAAAACGGCAACGGATTTTCATATTTGACACCTAAAAGATCATCATCAAATTTTTTCATCAAAATAAAAAATCACGCAGCGCACCCCATTTGGTGTTTTTATTTGGAATGACTCATATGCATATAAACTTTTCAAATATTGGCGTTGAGAAACTATTTAATACTTTTGTATTTTTGTATCGAGATAATAAAAAAATTTTCACATTTAGTATTATTTTACAACTGTCAACTAACTTAAAACTAACTCCAGCCCGTGACTAAAAACCTGTTGCCAACTTCAGCCCGTGATTAAAGCGCCATAAAGCCACAACTTGTCAATGTGTATTTAAAAGGTCACTTAGTGTCATGGAAACATGTTCGATAAAGGGCGTTTTAAAGGTGGGAGTAGAAAAACATCTTTATAATTACTTGGAATAATAAACTTAAAGGTTAAAAAATTAATTGGTACCTAAATCAAATAATTAAAATATTGATTACAAAAATTTTACTTACAAAAGAATGTTTTATTTAAAATATTGGATAATTAAACCAAATATAAAAGTATGTAAATGTAACTAAAAAGGTTGAATAAAATATAAAATTTATTTAAACAAATTTGATTAGAAATATACAAATTTATTTGAACACAATAGATTTTTTTTTACTTTTTTTTTAATTTTTGTAACCAAAATTTAATCAAAATAAAAAAATCTGATTTTAATTAAAAAAATCCATTTTTTGTTTTAACAACAAACAAAAGTAAATACTTATGTGCTACTGAAATACAATACTTAATAGTTTTTTTGAATTTCTTTAAAAACCTTATTTGATGACCTGTTATTGGAATTAGGCCTTTTAAAATTTCGGCGTTTAAAAGCTTTTCCTCATCGATATCTTGTCCTACAAAAAGTATATTTTATGATAAAATCGTTGAGCGATGAAGACTTATTAATAAATGGTGAAATAATATTACAATTAAATAAACCTTTCTTTAAAAAAATAGGCAACCAGATTAGCATAAAGTTCCTAGTCGATCAGTACTTTTTGGTAGGATAAATTATTTTTAGTCTTTAAAATTTAGAAAAACAAGTTTCAGGTGCTTCTTTATGGACCCTAAGGAACTACCCATTTTAATATATTACATTAATTGCATAACACCCTGTATGTCAAAATAAACCCCAATACATGTAAAATATCGTACATCAAACTTAGTTGGGAAAAGGTTCTCTGGGTAAGCCGTAAAAAATACATTCTGCGACAATTTCTCAACAGGCTTGAGACTTTGTTGATTACTATCTGTTTGCAGCAGTGGACGACATGTCCAGGCAAGAGTTGACGAGGTTTGACGCTAACGAGTTGTTCGAAAATTCGATTCGCGACGATCTGGGATCGCTGGACTTCGAAGGATTCGCCATGCTGGCCAATCAAAGCATTTCCGTGCCGGAAAGTCTGGAAGATAACTTTAGATCATAACAAGTAAGCGAAACTTTTACAAATCAAAGCACTTGTTTTTTTTATTTTAATATATAAGTTATTTTTTTGTAGTTATGATTTAATAAAGTTTAGTTACTTTTTTACTCGGTTTTGTTTTTATTGGTGCAAGTTGGTTTGTTGGTAGCACTTTTAACACCCTTGTGATATTTCAATGTAGCGTTGTACAGGATGTCCCGAAAACATCTTATAACGGTTGTCATAGCAATAGCAACCAACCAAATAATGCAGCTGAGGTTTACATTGATCCATTTTCGGGACAACCTGTAAACCCCTAACTTGTGGAGTTGGTTACATTTGTTGGCAAATAATTAAATCTAAACTCTAACCATGTATTTTTTTTTATTTGAAAAGCCACAAAGTCGGTTAAATTAGATAAAAGTTGAATAATAACAAGCCTATTAAATTGAAATTTATAATTTGAAAAAAAAATCTGCGATTCTCAAATTAATTAAAATAACTTAAAACCTTAAAGAACAAAAATCGTTATAAGTTTGTTATTCCTGGGAATTTTGATACAAAGTAAGTTTTACATGTAAACATTAGACTGGGCCTAAAAATCGACTATTTTTTTTTTGGAAAGTATATCGAAAATATTGTTTGGGGCGACAAAAAAAAATTATGGTGAAAGTTTGAGTCCATAATAATATTAAGAGGTCTATCATCGCAATTTTAGAAATTTTTTTTCTGAGCGAGTTTTTGTCTTAGAACTCCTAAATCATTGAGTTTAACAAAATTGACTTAAGAATATTTTTTGAAAAAAATTGAATGCTCTACAAAAAAGGTTTGATTGGAATTTCCCGTCAGATGAACCGTTTTCTTACAATCATGCCTTAAAAATTGGTATAGTTTTACAATTTGATCTTTTAACTTTGGAATTTTGTAATTCAAGTAAAAATCAGTACCCTGAAAAAAAAATATTCTTATGGGAAATCAAATGCTCTACAAAAAAGTCTTGATAAATGTGTTGGTTTTCATGTGAAACTTAATTTTTTCCAAAATTCCCATGAATAATAAAGTTATAAAGATTTTTGGTTTTGACAGGTTGTTAGTATTTTGTTGATTATGTGAGAATCGCTATTTTTTTACAATTTCGCATGTATATATGGTGTCACCTTTAGGGAATGATTATTTTGGCGTGACACCCTGTATATAACTTTTAATTTAATTTGGTGCTCAGGTAAGTAAAAGAAACTAATTTTTTATTAAAATGGTTTTAGGGCTTATTTGTTAAATGGGTTATTTTTAAATTTCTTGTACATTTGCCCTTAACTTTAATATTTTATAAAAAATTGAGTTTAACGCCATTTTTGCTTTTTCTTAGTTTTGTACTTTTATAAATAATAAATTTATGTTCTTTTTTTAAACAAATCCTATAGTCACGGCCAAATCTGTATGGGTGCACGTCATCAACGGCATATGACGTCAGCGTTAAGGTCTATTCATACGTGCCCAGACACAATCTAACGCTCGTGTATTGTTGACTGTTTATAGCGGTGGGGTCTGTTATTAAGATGGAATTATAACGTCCTTGTTATAATCTTCTGCACTAACTAATTAGGAGTTTGTTACAGGCAAATTTTTATTAAATGTGTTTAAAGAGAAAACAAACGGAGTTTATTACATTTTTATTACATATGCACATAACAAAAAATTCTAAATTATCAGAAACACAAAATATATAAATTACCAGTCGTCCTTGTCATCAGAGCAAACCAGGTCAGAATTGAAGTCTGATTATTTCCCCAATTTTATTATTAAGCCTTAATAATTAAGGGCGCAATGTCTTCGAAATCTAATAACGGCTAGTTGCCAACAAGCCTTATATCATTGTTTGCACAATCCAGGGATAGAATCTTATAAACATAATGTATAATATTATTTATAATAATTTGCAACAAACGATGCTTCCGGACGAAATGTCACAATTACAAAAATACGTCAAATATAAAATGACAGCGACCCATCAATAATATTGAACGGTGCGCGCCAGCCTTAAGCTATTACCAACTGGCACACACAAAAATTACTAAGTGAATGGTTTTATTTTGATAATTTCGTGAAAAAACGTTTTAAAACAAGGAAATTGTTACAGTTCTTGGTAAACAATACGCAAATGAATGATTTCTTTTTAATAACACATCAGAATTACGCCTTAAAAAAGCAAATTTAACGGCAGTAACTTTACAATTCAAAGTTGGTAATGCTGACGTCATTATATCTCATTGATGACGTGCACCCATATAGATTTGGCCGTGACTATAGTGTAAATACCTAAAACCTTAAAAGGATTTTTAACAAGCAAAAAAATATATTTTCAAAATGATTAAGCATTTTTATATAGGTTTTTTTAACATGTTAGTAAATTTGTGACCCAGGGGACCATTTTTTCTTTTTTACGGGCTTATTTAAAAAAATCCAACTGCCTATTTTCAGGTGTTAAATAACACCCCTAAATAAACAAAATTTGGAAAAAAAAAAACACATTTGTAGATTATGTTTTTGTTTTTACTTTTTCTTCTTTAAATGTACAAGAATTTTGAAAATGACCCAAATGTTTTGTCGCTGCGTAAAATCATTAAGTAAAAAATAACTTTTTTTCAGGAGTTTACTGCCGAAATTAATGAGTAATTAGGTATAAAAATTAAGACATTTCAACTTCTAAGTGTGATTGTTAGGCTTAGTTTATTGGGCAACAAGATATGTAAAAATAATAGGTGCAAAGTTTGTTCTGGATTACATTTTCAATTATTAATTTTTTTTACTATAAAATATTTTATTTGGCAAATGTAATGGTTGATATTGAAAAATTAAAGGAAAAATTGCTATGATCTGAAAATATTACAAGAACAATTTTATATCAAGACTGATTACAGTCATAGACTGTTAAATACGAATTTTGGAGAAATTATAATTATTAGTTAGTACCAAATATGTTAAATATGTTGAATTATGTACAAAATAAATTTTATTCATGACGAAAAATATATCAAAATTGATATTTTGTGAAATTAATCATGTGATAAAACATTGCCAAAAAATTAAACTTTCAAACTAAAAATTCAGTTTTGAAATATTTTTTAATATTACTTGTTAGTTTTTCAAATAGTTTAATGTAAAAATTTGTAAATTTATTGTCGTCTTTTATTCGCGATATATTTTGTTATAATTTAATTGTAATGTAAATAATCTGTATATGTTTTTTTTGATTAATAATAATAAGTGCAATATATTTACTGTTACAGATTTTTCATTTCATTAAAATTATAAAATGTTAAATGATTTAAAATATTTAAAAGTGTTTAAATGTCTTGTAAATCCTGAGGAACTCACTTAAAATGTTAAAAATCAAATTTAATATTTTAAGTGTATAAAATCTGGTTAAATGTTTCGCACAAGAAATACACGAGAGTCCACAATTTTATCACGTTAAAAAAATAAATTATACCCCAAAATTCTATAGAAAGCAATACACCAATCAGATCTCGGCACATAGTGTGCTGTGGAGAATGTTGTGCTCTGATTGGTTTATTGCTTTCTATAGGTCAATTTTTATAGAACATCAAAAAATATTATTGATTTATTTATATTGTGGATTCAACTGTATAAAATGAAATAAATGGAGAGGACTGCATAGTTTAGGTAGGATAGAAAGCGCACAAGTGTACGTAAGTCAATATTCCTATATTGTACGAATTTCGTTTTTATATTTCGAAATTGGCACAATATAGAAATAAAATAGTTTAAATACAAAATACATCTTTCAAATTACATACTTGTATTTAAACAATTCTCATAATTCTTACCTATAATAGGTGTTTTTTGTAATTCCCTAGCAAGTTATTACACATCTAAAGTAATTTCAAAAAATATTGTGTAAGTTAAGAGTTTTAAGTCCATTTTGTTTATTAAAAAATAAATACCGTATTTTTTGTGGTAAAAATACTGCATTTTAATTAATGATTGTAAGCTTATAAGCTATATATAGTACCCGATAATGACGCAGTTTTAAAATTATCAAGAATTTAGGTTTTAAAACTGTCTTTTAAAACCTTAAAAACTTCTCATCAAACTCCAAACTGAACTTTTAAGTGGACGTTAAAATTTTTAGCTTTTAGATTTTTTTATTCACTATAGGATAGACTACTAGACTTAATGTAAATAATTTTTTTATTATTATCCTAGATTGAATAAAATTTTTACGATAGTATATGTGGGTAACCGTTTCATCTTTGTCGAATTTTGTAAATACTTGCATCACATTTTTTATTTGAAACATAAATTAAGTTTTTTAGACACAGATGTCAATTATTGTTGCATGCTTCATTGTTATTTTTTTAATTTTTAAAACAATTAAACATCTTGATTTTTAAAGGTTGTTTTATTTTACCGGTTGAATTTACATTGTTTTATATACAATACTATTACCGTTGAGTGCTGTAACTTTATTTCAGAAATAAACAAACGCTGGGAATACCTCGAAACAAGTTTGATATGAGTTTGACACTAGCGGCAGTTATTAGAAACTGGGAAGAAAGATATGTATATAAAATGGCCTAGAGATGGCGCTACAGTCGTGTTTTTTTGTTAGGTTGGTTGCTTATGCCAGTTTGACTTAGAATTTTTAGTATTTAAAAATGGTACCTACTTCTGCTAAAGAATTTAATTAAATACTTTGACACTCAAATTGACAATAATATTAACTATTGATAATTTACTTTTCAATGATAAATAAAAAGATAATTATGCCAAAAATAATGGCAACGAATTCGAATGTAAAAGCCCTTTTGAGGGCAAAACTTCATTTTGATGAAATTATGCCAAATGCCACAATGGAAGAAAAAGTACATCGCCTTATATGGACGTTTTTGGAGTAAAAAAGTATCGAATTTGGTTTTATAAATATTACATCACACATTATTTTCACATTATTCACCATTGGACAACATTTACGTTCATAAATATTTTTAATTTCTTTTATATAAATTCTTTTCAAAGATTATCCGCTGGAATACTTTCTCTTATGGGCCGTAAAGTAACCTATATTTAACTACTTTTTTTATATGATTTTACTCATCTAAGCACC